TTTTTGGCTGGATATAAGATTTTAAAACTTGGTTAGGTGGACATTTTTTGCAGTGGTTTGGGTCCTGAAAGCTTTGCTGAATTTTCAATTTAAACAAAAGAAGCAAGAAAAACAACAAATACATAACTGATAAGAAATATAAGGAAGCTACAGAAAGGTAACTAGTGATTTGAAGTGAAACAACTTTGGCTTAAGTGTAAAATAATAGAAAGGAACAATGAGACAGCCACATTAACGTTAAGTTAAAGGCTAAATGTGCTCTTTCTAAGAAGCTGCCTGCCTCTGGCTGAACCTCACAGCTTCTATTACATTTAAAAACAGCCAATAAGCTGAATAACCAACTGACGGTTATTCAGCCACACCATTAGCCAGCTGGCACCYCGTCCAGCCGTTCACACGTAAAACCAAACGGTCTGCCAGTTAGCTAGTTAGTGAGCCGGCCAGTTCGACTTCCAAACAGCCAGCCACAGAGCCAGTGATGTAAACCAGGCCGCGGCTGGCTGGCCAGGCTGCAGCTGAATTCTTGGTAGTGATCTGGTCTGGACCGGGTGCATCATCAAAGCCGTTTTTTCCAGGAGACAAGGCCAGTCGTCGTTTCAACCCACAGGAGGACCGCTGGTCATGTTGTGCGGGTCATTTGCTGATTATTCAGAAAAAAATATCACCTCAACAAAAATATAAAAGGGATAATAGCCGTGATATCTGTGCACCCAGAGGTTTTCATTACAAAAGCCAATGCTTTTCATCATAAAAAGAAGTTATTTCTTTTTGTCTGTATAAAGCGACATGGTGCACCTCTTCTWTTTCCTTCTGTGCCTCTTTGTTCTTCTCCAGAAGATGAAGGACTCACCTTCCTGCCGTGACTGGCTGAAGGGCAATAATACAAGAAGCGGCAGCAGAGCTGCCCGATATTGAAACTGTGAGGATTAATATTCCTCAAAAGCCTGGCCATTGTTTTTGATAAATCAATTTGGGAAGCCTTCCGAGAGCGGATTAGAGACATGCTCTGGCCCACTTTACCTCTTCTTGTCTCTCCCCGACACCGCAGGTACTGGACCGGAGTTTTAATCAGGCGCGCCTCAAAGACGGGCACAACAACCTTCGGCATCATCTCTCCTCTGCCCACCCACCTGGGTTACCACCAGCGCCACCACCTGAGCGATCCTTACCCCTCTCTAAAGTTATCGTTTTCTCCATYTGTCTGTAAAATTTACCCCACTTCTCCTTCATCGCCCCCACCCTCCTCGTCTGTCTGCCTCTGCATACCAAACAGGGCCGACGTTAAACGATAGTGTCGGAGCTGGAGGGCACCGTGGCGGAGCCTCTTGATGTTTGGATTTAGCGAGGGGTGTTGTGTGAAATGTGCGGTGACGGAAAACGGCTGACGCTCCTGACATATCACAGAGCCAATTTTTTACGTTCCTGTTCTGTTCGGTCGCGTTACTCCACAGATCACAGGCGTGAGGAATGCGGAAAATTTACTCTAAAGGAGGAAGAGATTGTGTCGAAGGTGGTGGGAGTAAATAAAATGAAAGGGGAAAAAGCATTAGCAGCTGAAAAAGGGGGTAAAAAGGTCAGAAAGGTAGAAAAAATAAATAAATTGCGAGACACTTTTATTGTGGAAGGGCGAGTTGTTTTCTCCCCAGTCAGCTTTTTCTTAACACTCAGTTTTATGTCGCTTGTTTTTGAATGCCTGTTGTGTTTACCTCCCACGGAACAGATGTCATCAGGAACAGCTGGAGTTGTGAGGAAACAACGAGAAAAGAGAAGGACCTCATGCTGCGTTCGCAGCCCATCCCATATCTGACAGCCCCCCCCTACACAAAGACAACCTCTCCATAACTCAGACTGCAGCCCACTCATAAAAACAGCCCAATATGGCTCACCTGATATGTGGAAACGGGGGAAGCAGCGATGAAGGGCGTGATGGAGGTCTGTGCGATCATGCGGTTGGTGGCGATGCTGTAAGGCGACGAGTAAAACCTGAAAAATGAAGGAAAAAAAGGAGTCGAAAAGTCAAAATCTTGTGAGAAGTGGACAGCAGAGAACAGACGACGTGTTGTTTTCAAAGCTGTTTCAGTAGATATTACATTTTACCTTTTTAATAGAGAAATGATACATGGGTAAAAATATGAAGGATGGAAAAACAAGACAAATAAACTTATTTAGTTTGTTTCAAATGCTGTATTATTTATGTTTATTCACAAATGATCAAACCAGTTTAACAGTTAGAAAAAAAGTGAAATCTCTACTTTTTGTATTTTTCTGCTTMCTTTTTACTTCAGCAGCACTCAAAGGGCAAAGGTCAATGTTGGAATTTAACAGTGAGTTTTCTCTWTTTTTTTTGGTTGGTTTCAAGGTTTATGCTRCGTTYGCACCGAAYGCGATTTCAGSKTCAAAATCGCATCCAACGCTTCAARTTGGTCGCYTGTGCACTTTGAGGTCAGACGCAGGTCAGCTCTTGAAGCGCTGCATGGCCACAGCCTCCCCGCCCCTCCCTCCTCTGTCGGGCTCTGTTTAATGTCGGACGAGGAAGTGCTTTGCTTTATTTACAGAAGAGCAAGAGCATGTCACGTTCATCAGATAATTAATTCATAATTAATTCACCAGATAATTCAGGGACATTCTGAGTTTCATCACCCAGGAGCTGCGGGAGAGGCTCACAGCTCGCTTTCAGGACTATTTTTGTCCCGAGTCAAGTCTGATGAGCCGCTGCCACGCATTGGTGCTGATATCTCCTGTCCGGACGCCGACTGCAGGCACTCAACTTCAGCTAAAGAGCTCCTCTCCATCTGTTTCAGGTTAGTGGACATCATTCAGTAAACTGTCCCGTCGGGAAATATGTCGCTACGTCACACAGTGGAGTCTCTCCGATTGGTTGACGCGGTGCGTCGAGCTGCAGCGATTTGCGCATGAAGCACGTCCATCATTCAAATCGTTCAAATCGCGCTGCTCTAATTGCGCTTGAGGCGCCGCAGCACTTCCCGACGCTGATTGAAGCGCGTCC